AAAGGCCTGGCTTTAAAAGCATAAAGAAAGGTGTGGTCAATTTGCATTACTAAAGAACAAAGTGCTTTTTGCAGTGCTGCCGTTTGCCACAGTTGCGGATGACATGCCGATCGTTCGGAGTGATTCAGACACTTGGCCGTCTTGTAGGATACTGTTCTGGAATATTGAGGGAATGGAAAACAGACTCAACTGGTCAATACACACTTTTGTGTAAATAATTGAAATCATGTAAAATAATGAAAATTTCTGTAGATACAGGGATTTCAAATGTACTGAACAACACTTTGGTAGAATATTCCAAATCTTATTTTTAATCATAAGATGGAGATAGGCGATAATTTAAAGGAACAAGGCCTTCTTGAATATTTAATATTTTAAAAGTAAAGGTAATATTGATCAAAATTCCAGGGACATCTTTTAACATCAATTATCAAATTAGTCACAATTAAGATAAATCATAGAAATTCTTTGAAGTAGAAAATGGCTGACTAATTTTGATTAAATGACTCAACGTTCTTGCAACTTTCTTAATTATGACCGTTAATAGTTCTTTTTAATGGATATTGGATTGTATATCGTGCATAAAATGAATAATGTATTCTTTTGAGGCCTTTGCATATTGAGTTGTGTAACATGAGATCATTCATTTAGTTTATTGTCAGTTACTTGACTAAATATTATAATATAATAATTATTTGTTCATGAAAATGAGGTTATTGTATACCTTGATTTAGCCTATCCATTTAAGACCTATAAAAAGATTGGGGTCATTTTCAATCGTCTATATCCTGAAAATTGCTTCCACCTTCTGTTCATGAGTGTCTCCACCCTTCCCAGCCATGTCTACTACTTCTGAAGTCGGGCAGACACTCGGATGATGGTCATTGATTGTCCAACAAAATAGACACAACGCAACACAAGGTACACGCAGATCAGTTAGTCTTCAACGACAGTCCCCTCAAATGGCCACCAACAGTGGCGCTAAGCCCCGCCCCTTGGATGTTGTTGTTAAGGTCACACAAGACGACGGTGTTAAAAGATATGAGAACACATGCGCTTGTGGGACAACGTGTGTTTGTGAGACACGCGCGTATTCCTAGCGCTGTTCTGATTCAGTCAGTGAAGCACTCCAGAAAGGTCTATTGTGAGGTGGCCTTGCATCATCAAATGCTCATAGAGTCGTATGACACAGTGTGTTGCAGGCTGATGAGTAAGCTTATATCTTTAATTTTTCTATTTTCACTCATATTTCTCTGTCCTATATCTTGCCTTCAAACTATATGTCCTGGTTTTGTATAGAGACAATTATAATCAATCAGTTATGACATTTGTATATCTTCATGCATCTGAGAAATTTTATACTGTAAAAGTGCACATCCATTCACTATTGCCAAAATCTATCATCATCGATGGACCATATATTTATTCAGAAGATGAGGCCATTCTTTGCTGTGAATGATACAGAGTGTCAGAACCATCTAATAAGTGGATGTTGCGGTTATTTGTATATGAAAGATGCATTCACTTTTACTGTGATTTTGTTTAGCTTTATTTGCTCTGTCCTTCAGAACGCCTGGTGAAGATATTGATCCATGGCTAACAGTAATTGCATTTATCACCAAACAATGGCTCATCAAGACCTGAAAACTTGCTAGTAATATAGTACTTAGTCGGAAAGTTGATATAGCTAATCAACTTTAAATACAGAGGTAGTATTGATTGTTGCCGAATAATAACATGCGTCTTATTATCCCATCTACACATTGTTTGCCAGTGATAAGTAACGTTTTCTGTTGGTAATAATCTTTACATAATTTTTTACACGGCCATGAATTAGCTTATGTCAGTTATCGTTATAAAGACAATACATTTGATTGATTTGTCGTAATCTTTTATTGACTCAGTGATGGGCCTGTCGTTTTTTTGTCAGACCAATTTATTAACGGACGTTTGCAGTTGCTCTGCTCAGTGATTGCTCACCGATGTTGACCTTTAATTGTGTTGGAGTGTCTGTTTGGCTGCAACCGCTCTGCTCGAAAAAAGGTCAAACATTACTTTTGACACTATTTTGACATTCCAAACACCCAACAAAAGTGTTGCTACACCTAAAATTAGCCTTTACGCCCACATGATGTGCTGTAGATGTTAGTTACATTATACTCTGAAGGAGTGATAGCAGTAGTATATTGGCATTTGTATGTGAAGAAATATCGACACTTGTTTATAAGGAAATACTTTTTTTTATATTAATAAATGTTTTTTTTTATTCAACAGTGAATAAGAATATAAAAAATATTGTATAGAGTACAGTGTGCTTAGAAAATCTTGTGAAGAGTAGCCTAAATGTTACGTTTTTAAATAAATATAATAATGATTGCATAAAAATAACAATTAATATTAAGGTAATTATAATTTCATATTCACAAGATGCCCTACTTTTAATTTCTGTATTCTGTGACTTTCATCTACATGGCTTTGTATTTTAACTCAAAAATAGCCTTTTTAATACCCCCTATAACATTTAGTTAGATTCAAAACAGTTTCCAAACACAATTGTTTAATAAGTATTCTGAAAATATGAAGGCCTGCAAAAATATATTAAAAATCCTGTGTTCAACTTATTTAAATTTTAAAAAGTTGACCCAAGAATTTTAAAAATTTTAGGTTGGTCATTGGGGCAAAGTGTTATTTTAGGCCTATTAAAATATGATTTTTTTTTTGTGTTTTTGCATATGCTGTTAAAAGTACATTATGTTTATTAAAGCACATGATTGTGGTAGTAAAAGTTTATTTTGACTTGTACTTGTAACCGTCATAAGTAAAATATTATGAGATATTAGAAATTTAGTAGTCATGATAATACAATATAGTTATAGTTATAGTTATTATGAATGCTGTCTCTTATACACATCTAGACTATTACTAGAGGCTTTTTGCCAAGATACTTTATTGATTTTCTTCTAGTCCCTACTGAATCAGAGATAGCCGTAGAGTCTTTGGCAAGATAAACATCGCTGAATAAATTATGCACACAACTTAATACACGTTCATTAGCGAAGTATTCATACGTTAATTGAATCAGAGTGGAAAAAAAAGAACTATTAATGCATATGCTTGATTTACTTACTTTATTCGCATATAACAATTAGTACGGTCCGGGCGGTTATTGATCTGGAGATAAAATGGTTATTGTATTGATGATTACAACTTGAATTGAATCTAAACGTGTTCGGTGTATTAGCCGAGAGTGGATCATTGTGGATGCCTAGTAAGGCAAGAGATATAGAAATTTGTTTTGATACAATTCCTACTGTTAAAGGCATACTGATATTAGAAATATAGATTGTGAAAAATTAAAGTCATATACAGTTTGCCCTCCAATTCGAGACCACCTTCTTGACCTGAAAATTTGGGGTGGTCTTGGCTTTGGTCTCCACTTAGAGGGCTAGCTTTGTGTTAAAGGTTGAAGATTGTTATTTGGGTCTTTTGAAAATTGGTCTCGAATTGGAGGGTGCACTTTATTTAAAGTAATATAAATTATAAAATGTGTAGTTAAATGTAATCATTAATAAAATACAAACATGACAGTATATTTTATCTATATTTTAAAAATTAATGTACAATAGAACCCCTCCTTTGGGACACTCCCATCAAGGGGACACTTTTTAGGGGTTCTACTGCATTGATAAAAGATAACAACAATCAAATATATAAGTAAAGTGAAATAAACACAAAAATTAAATTTAAAGAAATATGAAATTACTGTAGATCATGTAAAAAATAGATTTGAAAATGTTTTTATTGGTGATAGCTTTATTGATTTTATAAAGTTTTTTATACTGAAAATACAAGACAATATTAAGTTATCATAATGTTTTTTCTGGTACTTAAAATATATAATGATGTACTGTACATTAATGTATAAATTGTATCACATAAATCAAGTTGTCTTATATAGCAATTGGCTTAGTAATCAAGCAGAATGTGTTTGAGAAGTAGGTGAACTTGCAAGCCTCATAAACCACATCAAAACGCATTCATTCACGTTTTACCTTTTCGTTTTTTATCTTCCTTCTCTTGACTTCTTCCTCTATTTTGTGTTCATTTAGCTGTTGTACCATCATTTTATAGAAGACCTTATTGACAGCAAGTGTGTTATGAGTTGCATAAATCAAGATCTGAAATCATAAATGTTTACATTTGATATCCTTTGGAGTTGCTTATTATGAGTTGCAATATTTATTGCATCATAAAAAAAAGTGTTTTGAGTGATGACAGGTATTAATAAACTTCAACCTAATTCCAATGAAAATATTAATTTTCTTTTTATTTTATTTATAGATATATTTTTGTATTATTATGTACAGTACACTTTTTTTATAAGAACACATTATATAAGAAACAATGAGACTGAAATCGCTTAAAAAATAAGAACACAATAAGAACATTTTGAGCCTGAAATCGGCAAAAAAATAGCACTGAGCTTGGGCAAAATTTTGCTGGTTCTTATAAAAAAAGGTGTACTGTAGGCAAAATGTCCAAAATCTATCTAAAAACTAGTTATAACTATAAAGATAAAATGAACTGTAATCTGTTTTTTATAATTCTTTTTCCCCTGCCCCTTTTCTAAACTATGACCTGTTAGCTTTGATACCAATATAACATTTGCACCACCTAGTTATAACTATAAAGATATATGAACTGTAATCTCTGTTTTACAATTAATTCTTTCTTCCCCCTCCCCTTATCTAAACTATGACCTGTAGCTTTAATACCAATATAACATTTGCATCACTGAGGCATCATACTCTCATTAGCTGACAAAGCCTAATAAATATTGGTTCACAAGAATGATGACACATCCATCTTATCTTCAGCAGATGACAAAGGCTATGTTTTAATTGCAACAAAGTATATACCTCCCTATTTGGCAGAATGAACTCTTCCATACGATAGATCTCATTATTATCGTTATTGTACTTGATGCTCATAGAGTTGTGCTAGACTTGTTTGGGTGTCTAGGCTGATATATATTCTCTGTATAATATAATATTTTTTTGGAATTTTAAGCGGGTCATATTTAACACACGATTTTGAACGAAATAATCTGACTTCTCAAAGTGACGTTTGGTATTTAACAGGATCATTATATGAATTTTAGAACTTAAACAAGGTACGTAATCTTTTGATCGTGTTTTATTCTAAGTAGTAATTAGAATAGTAATTTGCATTAAGTCGAGCTTATTTGTAGGCGGAAGATTAAAAATTTTCGAATTTTGAACATAGGACTACCGTAAATTTCATAGACACAGTATGGAACTTATCAGCTGAAGCTTTAGTACTGTCGTACTACAATAAGCAGCTTTTGAGAGCAGCCGGTATTGAGCACGCTCTTTCTCAAGCCTAAAGTGCCTCAATAATTACTATGCTAATATGCACTCTGAAGATCTCAACTAAGTAAATATTTAATTAACAAACCTATCTTGATTGTGATTGATGTAAATTGACAAGAAGTCAGGCAGAGCCATTGTCAATGCAAACAAGCATTTGTGAGCCAATACCAGGAGATGGATATCTTTGTAGCTCCAGAAACAAGCGTGATTTATTGCAAAGTAGAGCACAATTGGCAAGCCATTACTGTAAATCCTCATATAAGTGTCTGATTGACATCCTATGGAAGCTTTGCATCAAGGCCCCATTCACAATTACTGACAGTGGTGTAGGGATGGGCAATGCAGTCATTGAGGCCCCATTCACAGTTACTGACAATGGCATAGAGACGGGCAGGGCAAAGCACTGGGACCCAGGCCTATTTTATTCATAAATAGACCCTAAAAAAATAATTTCCAACTTTAATATTTTTGAAGGAAAAAATGGCCAACAGGCCCCTTAGTAATATTTAGGTTTTTAGAGAAGTGATTATTGATTACTGTGTTTACTGATTTCAACTTTTCTTGATTAGTTTAGAAGGGCCCCTCTTGCAATAGCAGCCCACGAAATTAGGAAAAAATTAGGTCGGCAAAAGTTTGCCGACCTTAAATTCTCCGAGGTCGGCAGCCTCGGCAATTTTTTGCTACCTAGGCCATAAACTACGATATTTCCGAACGTTCGACCTTACATCGTCATTTACAGATTGTGATTTTGTTAATTTCTCTATTAAATCAATATATTGCTGGTGAAAGAATGGTCGTACTTTTATTAATTTAATAGTGTAGTATATGTTTTACATAAGAAAATCGCCAAATAAATTTCATTTTAGCATTAGTTTTATCGTTATCTTTGCATGGGAAATATCACTTCAGTAAAAGCTACGATCGTCTCATCACAGGCTGCTTCAAAACTGCCCATGCATGTCCATGCGCATGCCCAGAATGATCTATCAGGGATTTTCCACACATGTACAGTACTTATCAGTTGTGAAGTCACGATGTGATCGTGATTGCGTTAAACGGACCGTAGGTAGGCCTACAATATGTTGAATTTTGTTGTTTTTAGATAATAAACAACATTTTAAATATGATAATAATACTGTGAAATAAAGACAAATAATAGATTTAGATAAGCATTACGATCTACGCAGCCCATGTGGCTTCAATTGGGCGATGTTGTAGGCCTTGGCCAGAAAGACAAGATGATTGTACGCAGATCGTATGTACTGTACTGCATGCCTATTAGAAATAGTTATTGTACAAACAAATCATGTCGGCAATCTGTCGATTGCCGACATGAAATTCGTGGGTTGCAATAGTTACGAAGGTTCCGATAAATTAAAAATATGATTCATGAAAATGTAAAACGTCAGAGCTTTCAAAGATCCCCTATACACTTGGTCAAGTGTACGGCCTATTTTCAAATGCATATGATGAGGCCTAGGTTGGGCTGTTTCTCATTTGAATTGGCAAGCGATTGCAGAAAAAGTTGTATGACTACTAAAAATGCAAATTCACATAACTTCAATTCTTTAAAAATTCAACCAGAGGTACCGTAGTAGCACAAAAGAAAAAGGTGTCAATGAGAAAATCATACTTTTGTTTTTCACTTTGTCTACCAATTATTTGGTTTTTGTTATTCTTTTGATATAAGATAATAATGCTTGAGAGATAACCTTCAAACTTTCTTTAAATATTGAAAGAAAATTTAAAAATTTTCATAAATATTTAGTTTGTTGAATGAAAACCTGAAACTGATATTATTGCAAATTATCATTTTCCCATGTTGTTGTTAAGTACTTGAGAAAAACAAGGGTTTTCAAACATAAGCATTTCTTTTGTACATCAAAATATGTTTTTTATTGTACACCTATTCAGTTAGGAATGGGAAAAAAAAACTTGTCGATTAAAAAGCTCTTCTTGACTTTGTAGCATATATTCATCATAGATTGAAGATTCCTTTTTTTATATTCATTATAGATTGAACATTACTTCGTCTTTTATATTGAAAATCACTGCTGTATACTCAATTTTGAAAATACCGCCTCCAAACACCTTAACCGTATTCAGTTTTTTTTTTTCTTTTTTTTTCTTTTTTTTTTTGCAACTATATATTTGAGTGTCAGTGGATTAGTAGGAAAGCAAAATAGTTAATTTTTTAAAACCAACATTAGGTACAAAATCACGTTATTTTTATGTTTTTAATTATGTTAATTATGATGAGATTGTAACATCTGTATTTTTTTAAATACAAGCAAAGAATATTTTATACAGGTCAAATAAGGTTAGTATTCTAATTTGTTCATTCAATTTTGTTCTAATTTTTTTTTTTTTTTCGCAATGGGACCATAGCTTAATAATCATCCACATGGGTCTATATGATTGTAGCTGTAGAAAACTGAGGGTGGGTGATAGGCATATTAAGAGTGGGTAGGTGATAGCATTTATAATTAATAAGAGTGGATTTTAAGGATGGAAAAGTGGGTTAATAAGGGTAGGTGGAGGGCTGTGAAATTAGCTTAAAACTGGATGGAAAACTTTAAGGCTGGGTGGCCCCACCCACCATAACTACATCCCTGTGTCTATATAACAGACCTTAATTTAATATTTTGTTGCCTGATTCTAACACTTGAAAAACTATGAGAGCTACTGTAGTAAGAGCTTGGCCAGAAAACCTGATAGGAATATACAGTCTTGTAATCTTGTAGTTGGAATTTTTTTTTTTATCACTTGTCTTAATCAATCTGTAATCATTACTTTTTCTCTGGTTATTACACTTACTTGGAATCCACATTAGTACTAAATTTGCTTAAATCTAATTCTTATGAAATAGAAAATGGATATAATTGTTATTAAGTTTCATTAATGAAATTGAAATTAAAGCCCATATGGGTTTCTGTGCTAAATACATGTTGTGTGGTATGTTTAACTTTCCAATCAATCAAATGTTGCGAAATTATTATAATCGTTATCATCAACAAAACTGCTATCATGGCTGTGTACAAATGAATTGTCAACACAGGGACCACAACGCCACAGCCTTTAGGCAGTACTATCCAGTTTCTCGTATGTTTTTCCGGCCAACGGTCACACAATAGATCATAGCCGGAACCCCTCGAGGACCTGTTCTTAATTGTGTGTTTTAGATATCGTCGCCATGTAACCTTACTCTAAATAACCACTTACTCGCAGTATCTAGTTTCCTCGTCAGATGATGTTCATTCGGTTAATCAATATATCGTACCGGAGGAGAAGTGTATGGATCGATGGATGTTCTACAAGAATACCTGTATCCGTTATCTATAGTGACATTGAATTATAACATTGCAAAGATTATATTTATGCCAATCAATAATGTACCACTCTTTAGCACATTTAGAACATCGATCCAAATTATGATGTAGTAATGTGATATTCTTGGGTATATAACAAATAAAATTTAAATGGGCTTGATTTGAAGTGAAAGGACTGCAGACTATAGATATTTGAGAGCTAAAAAAAGAAAAAATTAAGAAGTCATAGGGTATGTGAAGAATTATGGGATGTCAATAGAGTCAGTGGCTATACTACTGTACAGTATATTTTAATCTGTGGGGATTCAGTAGATAAAATTAGGAATCATAAGATATGTGAATATGTGAAAGGAATTGAGTCCTTTTAGATCGTTAAATGTAACATGAGGTGAATTTAGGATATATTTGAAGAAGAGAATTCATTATAAAAGGAAAGATTGGAATCGTAACACTTGCGATTCAATCGGGAATCTGCCGAATTTTCATGCAATGGTCTCCTAAATTTGTCAAATTCTCTAAAAGGGTCCTAAAATACCAAAAACGACTACTTTGTTGCTTTTTTTGGTACCAATAATTGAGTATTTTTGGGCTAAAATTTTCATTTGTGCATTAACATTATCAACAACATTGGTGTTACTAACACCTCAAAAGATCAATTTACCATAATACTATTAGTCAGAATGCATGCAGCATTCGTGGTGAGGGTGTGCTTCAAATGTGAACCTACTGTCTCCCGAAGTTTGAGGCGTTGGATGTCTACCTTCTGGTGGTGACATAAGCTTCTCAATTCATTTTTTTTCAATTCATCTTCCCTCCTCTTCCTTTCCTTTCTCACTGAGGCAATGAAACAGCATTCCAATATGTATTAATCATTATTACATTACTAGGCTACCGTAGGTAAACACTGTTATCGTAAGTGAGGACGTGACATTTATAACAGTTAAGGCATTCAGACTTTGTTACTCCTTAACCTAAGGTTACAGGTGTTAATCAATTAGTTCTAGACAGGGCCTACAGGATCTACCGGTACCTTCAGTACTGTATTAGGTACAGCAGCATGCATATACTACTAGAAAGATTTTGGGAGAGGAAAGAAAGGAAGTAACTGTAAGCCTGTTTATACAAAATGGTGGATCAACATTTTCTTAAATGGATTCATTGTTTTTTCATGCCTTTTCTATCTTCATTTCATTTTTCCTCAGTAATTTTTTTGCATAAACTATAAATGCCATCTTCAAATAATATTAAAACTTAAGTTTTTGTAATATATGCGTACAGTATAATGTCCTCTTCATTTTCTCGCAGATTTTGCCCTTTTAAATTGTGTTTACCCTTCTCAAGTGCGTTCTTCAACTGTTTACCTGCATGCCATTAACATGTTTGGGCGAGACCTGTCTACTAGGCAACTGTCTACTTGAAGGGTCTGACAAGTCAAGCCTCCCTCTTTACTG